TTGGGCTGAACCCTCTGCTCCTGCCCCCGATGGAATCTCAGAGCCCAGGCTCCAGCCCAAGCTCAAACATCTACCCGCCAGTTTTCTAGCTCTGCAGCCCCAGCACGAGTCAGCTGACCCAGGCCAGTGGCGGCTGGGCCGTGGGTCTTCTATTGCCGTGCAGACGTCCGGAGAGACCAGCCCAGCTAGCACACAGACGGGCTCGTGGTGAGCTGCACCAGCCTGGCACAGGGCTGCTCGCTCACCCTTCCAGGACAGCGTCATTTCAGGAGATGGCTGGGGGCCTGGCCTGAGCCTGCAGCATGGTAGCAGCCTTTCCAGGAGCACCTGCTCGCCTGGCCATGGGACAGACAGAGCTGTAGCACTGAGGCAGTGTGCTGCGAAACACTGTTGTGTTGCATGGTGACCTCTGCAAGGCTGGAGAGGGAGCGAGGCCCTGAGGGCAGCTGGGCGGGGGGGCAGGAATGCTGCAGTTCCACAAACATAATGAAGGGCATTGATTTGTAATAACAAACTCTGCTTTAGATGGTGTGGGATTGCTGTGGGAGGGGACCCACAGCGACCCCAATTCCAGCCTCTTCCAGCCCCCTGTGGAGACGGCTCCTTGCTGCCTGTAGGAGGCATCGGGGAGAGGTGTTCAGGTGACTTAGCAGAGGAAATGGGAACAGCAGGTTGGGTGTGACATGCTGAGAACCCTGCAGTGGGGAATTGGTGCAGGAGAGGCCCCTGAGCAAGGCAGGGGAGCCCGGGAAGCAGCATGACCTTGGTTTTGGTGCAGCCCAGCCAGTTAATTCTTTGAGTCACATATTGCCTCCAGCTTCGGCGGCAGCTGCTGTCAATCTCATTGTCTCTCCTAGGACAGGAGTCCAAAGGGCAGCTGGGAGCACTCCCTGGCCCTTAAAAACACCAGGCTGTGAAAGGACAGCTGCCATGTGGAGGAGCTTGCTGGCGAACCTGGGGCTACAGCCAGCATGACTTCATGCATCCAGGCCAGGATCCCGTGTGGGACCTGGGGAAAATGGCCTAGAAGGGTGCTGCACATTGTAAAGAGCATCCATGTAAAAGAGCAAGTGCAGGGAGGGCTGTGGGAAATGTTTGTGTCTCAGCTGGCTTGGGGGGTACACAGAACCCACCACCCCCACCCCCTAAGGACAGGTGCAGCAGTTTGAGGCAAAGCCAGGTGGGCAGAATTCCTTGGGCAGAGACAGCCCATACCCACACTGGCTTTGCTGGGGCAAAAGCTACTCTGTAAGGTTTGGGATCTCTGAGCTCTGTATGTGGGGGTGAAGGAATGGTTCTGGCGCATCCCTTATCGGGGCAGAGCTGGGATCCAAAGCAGGAGAATTCAGCTGAGTGTCTCTTCTCGGTTGTGGGGTTCAGACCTGAGTCTTGCTTACAGTCTCTGCTCTGCACCTGCTCTCAGCATTGCTGGCCCCTCTGTGCCTTGCCCTGGCTCATCCATCCTTCGCTCAGCTAAGCTTCTCTGGGCTCTGAGCTCTGCTGGCCCTGCCACAGCTGGCCTGGCTCTGGGCTCTTGTCTGATAAAATGATCTATCTGGCATGGCAATAGGAAGTGACCCTCCAGGCTGGGAGGGAGAGAACCGAGGTGGGGAGGGATTTCCAATCTGGCCTGAGGCCCCCTTCAGGTCTCACGCGGGCAGCAGAGAGCGGGGGGCTCCAGCATGCTCTGGAGGGCTCTTGGGTGCTGGAGAGCTACTTTGCCCTGGGTTCAGGGCTGTTGCCTCCTATGGTGACCCTCCAGGGAATCCCTCCTTGCTTGGGATGCCTTGTAAACGGGCTGTAGAGCTTGTGTCAGTGGAGGCCAGAGGCACCCAGTTCCTGGGCCAGAAGCCATGAGCCTGCTGACCTGCAACAGCTCAGGTATGTGCTGTGTTCTTCTCTGGGCTCTGCCCAGCTCCTCCCCGCTCCCAAGCCGTCTGTCCCCCTCTCCCGTTGTCACAGGGAGCTGCGGGCCCAGGCTGGGCGGAGGCTGGAGCCCAGCCCTATCATCAGGGGCAGACCGTGGGTGCAGAGCCGAGCGCTTGGCCCAGGCACGGTCTCCGCCGGGGTGGGGGACCCCCTGCTGGGGAAGTGTCAGCAGCAAGCTCCAGGGGGGCGGATTGAATGGAGGAGGCACCTTGGCGGTTAGGGCAGTGACTGAGCAGGGCTGTGTGCCAGAGGACTGGGGAGGGCCCAGGGCACATGCGTAGAGGCTTCCTCCCACAGCCGAGGGAACTCCCGTCGTTTGGCCGTGGCTATGGTGGGTATCAGGACTGTCATGAAATGGGAGTGCCCCCTGCTGCCCCGACCCAGGGGGCTGGGACCCCAGCGAGGGAGGAAGGCAATTCTCCAGTCCCGCAGGGATTTCACATGCAGCGGTGACAGCCTGCGCTCTCCAGGATGAAGGGTAAACCTGCTAGCACGGGAATGGGAGGAGGTGACATAGCTGCTCCTTGCTGCGCTATCTGCAGCCCGGTCCGGGCTGGGCACCATTCTCAGGTAGGGCTGGCTGCTGTGGTAATTGCACACACTGTCGCCCGCTGAGGTGCATGCAGGGCCCTGTGGGTGCCTCAGGCATGCAGGCCAGGCCCCTGCTTAACCTTTCCTCCTGGGCTCTAAGTCCTGGGGAGCCGTTTAGGGATGGGAGGAGCGGCATCCTTTCCTGAGCCACTCTGCCGTGGCTGCTATTCCTGGTGCTCCCCGGTTACAGGACAGCGGGCTCTCCATCACTGCCTGCCTTATGTGGGGCACCGAACAGGACTTGTTCTCTGCTGGGGAAGGGGGGGAGCGAGGATGTGAGTCAGCCCCTTGGGCTTCTCTCCCTGGTCCCTGCGCTGAGTAGTGTGCCTGAAATGGTGAGCAGGAACTGCCAGCTGCCCCAGCCCACTCAGCTGTTGTGGTCTCAGTACAGGAATGGGGAGCTTCACCACTGCAGGGGAGAGGCCTGGGCCTGGCCTGCAAAAGTCTCTGGGTGGTCCCCAAACTGAGCAAAAATTGGAACGAACCCTTGGTCTGGCCATGATGTTCACGGTCCGTAATGCAGCTCTGTCGCATGCTGGTGAGTGTGTGAACATGGGAGATACACACAGGGACTTGCATGTGCAGCCAGACACATGGAGCCACACGCTCCCAGCGCATGCAGCCACACAATCCAATATCAGCCTTACTGAGCTCGGTCAGGCTGCAGAGCCATCTCCCCGGGGGAGCTGAAAGGCCTTTTTGCGGGGTGGAGGTGGGATTATTTGGGCCTTTTCAGCGAAATGGGACAAAGCTAAATTGGAGAACCCTGCAGAGGGTGAGTCCAGTCTGTTTCACTTATGTTTCTAACCTCTTGCTTGGGCTGGGCAGTTGTTTTTTTATAATTGCAGCAGATAATGGCAATGTTTAGTTTTAAGCTGTTTTGATATTTAAATGCTCACAGTTACAGGAAGTTCTGGGGGGGTCAGACTAATTATTTAATTGCAGCGGATGTTGAGATTCAGAAAGTTAAAGCACAAATTAACCCACAAATTATCCACATCCAATGTCAAAATATACCAAGTAAATCTCCTTCCAGCCGCTCTGATACGCCCTCAAGCAGCAGTTCTCTTACTTTGCCTAGCTGTAAATTATGATTAGTGTCGATGGAGGTATTTTTTGTCGGGTTGTGAGTGCATGGTGAAATCAGCCCTGACCAATTACCTATCTGTGACACGCATCCCCGTGTGCACACAGGGACGTGCGCAGTGCGGATACTCATCTCCACGATGTGCACATGCCCATATATACAGACCTCCGCATAGAGATCAGCAGACTCAGCCAGTGGGCACACAGGCAAGCCCATCGCATGTGTGCATAGGCATGCGGATGGGGCACGTTCAGATGTGATGGGAGCCCTTTGCCCCAGCACATCCAGGCATGTGAAGAGATAGGAGGAAGCCAAAATGTGGCAGTGGGAGTTGGGGCATGGGGGTGGGGCTGGCTATCACCGCCTGCAGTGTCCATCGCCTCACCGCACGTGGGGGAGGCTGCGGGGTGCACAGGTTGTGCTGTGAAGATGCAGCAAGTGCTGAGCTGTCCCCAGCACCCAGAGATACTTGTGACCCCCGACGGTCTCCGTCGGTAGTGCAGCCTCTCCACTGATCTCCTCTGGCAGTGCCAGGACAGAGCTCATGCGGGGCTCGCAGACACACCCGGCTGTGCTCTCCGCAGGGAGCTGTGCAGTTCTGGCTCGAGCCCTAGTGGGGTTTCCCCAGCCAGCTGCCTCTGTCCCTGCCTTTGATCTTTTCTTTCTTTGATTCCTTTTCTCCATCCCACCCCACACTCTCTCACTCCTCACATGCTGCAATCAGGCAGCAGAGTGTGATGGGGGCCCAGCTGCTCCTGGAGACCCTGAAGAGACCCAGCCCTGTGCAGTGGAGCAGGCCGTCCCTTCTGTCCCTAGAGAAGGGGCCAGCCCCTGCCTCCCAGAGCGTGCTGAGGAGCCGGTTGAGATGCATGGGGAGCAAGCAGTAAGAGTCTGAACTGTATCTCGAGGTGCATGGGAATGTCCCTTCAGCCTAGGCCATCTCCATACTGCTCCCCAATGGATCCCCAGCCCTGACCTCTGGGAGCCCTGAACTCGCTGGGTGCGAGGAAGATCCTACCACTTTCCTGACTCTTCCTCATGCTCTCCCAGCCCCTCTTTGGTGCATGTGATTATTAACAGCAGATTCCTTGCACGCCTGCACTAACGACTCATAGCGGGGGGGGGTGGGCCAGGTCGCACTAGATATCTACAACAGCTGCTGAGCTTTCCAGCCTGTAAAATTCCACCCGAGCTGAAAGTAATCTGCAAACGTGGGTAACAAACCCTGCGCCGGGACTAGCGGGGCGGCGCGCATAGGCTCGTTCCACCTGCCCTCACTCCATCATGTCTAACTTTCCATAAACCAGCGTGCTCCTCTCTCTTCCCCGCTCCCCCTGGCTGCCCCTGATCTCCCCCTGCCACTCTCCCTCCCCCGGCTCTCCCTTCTCTGCAGATAAAGCGCTTCCTGAAAGAAGACTCGGAGGAGGCAGAGTTGGCCCAGTTCCTGAAGGAGTTCCCTTCAGGCGAGAGCTTTAGGAAAGTTGAACCGGAGGAGGGCAAGAGAGCCCATGGACAGGGGCCCGTAGATCCCGGCATGTTCTCCAGTGTAGCCTGGCCCATTGCCGATGAGCTGCTAGACGAGAAGGAACTGAGGCCCTTCTCCCGGCCTCGGCCCCCGGACTTTCAGCAGCACATCGCAGCTCCGGCACCCCTGAGCCCCTCGCGGCCTAGAAGTCCATGGGGCAAGCTTGATCCATACGACTCTTCTGAGGTACGGTGCATTCCGGGGCAAGCCTCTCAGTTGACAAGGAGCTCCAGCCTCTGGGTTACTGGGGAGCAGGGAGCTAGGTGGCTTGTACAGCTCTGATCTGCTGAAGGATCTGCCTGTTCGCTATGTGAGACGCCAGGGATCAAGGACACCTACACACCAGGGCTAGAGCTTGCATAGGCTCCTAAATCCATTGTGCCTGACAGACTGGGGCCTGCAAGGGGCCGAGCACTCCTAGATCTCCTTGCATTGGCTTCCCTGGAGCTGAGGGTACTCGACTTGTGCCAGGATTGACTCCAAAGTGTCCAAGTCCCTGTGCAAAGGCCCGTCCCTGCCTCCTGGCTTCTCTTCCTAGGCGGTAAGGACGATGCTGTACACTGCCGCAGCGGCTGGGTACCCTGTGACATGCAGGTGCTGGCCCTCACCCCTGTAGAGGGCGGCCTTTCTGCCCTGGTCTCTGACACTGTCTGCCTGCTCAGGCCTGTGAGAGCGGTGCAGGCATCCCGTACACAGCTGGCCAGGGAAAAGCCAGCCTGAGCAGGCACATCTGAGGGCAAGCCCCAAAGCTGGGGAATTCAGACTGCCTCGCTCTCAGCAGATGGGCTCTGTCGTCATCAGAGGAGGCTCTTCCTCTGCCCGTTGTGAGCTCTGGACTCCTTCAGCCAGAGCATCCCTGCCAAGTGCAGAGGTCTGAGGGAGCCCTAGCCTGCTTAGGGCTTTGGCGACAAGGGCCAGGGCATACAACGGGGCCAGCTGACTGCTCTCCATCCCAACGGTGGGTATGCCCCGGGGACGAGGTGGGAGTGAGATAGGGGTGGCACTCCAGATTCACATGCCCCCCATCCTCCCCCCTGCAGGACGATAAGGAGTACGTGGGGTTTGCGACGCTCCCCAATCAGGTCCATCGGAAATCGGTGAAGAAGGGGTTTGACTTCACGCTGATGGTAGCAGGTAGGGGCACCCCTGAGGCCTCACCCAGCAGCCCTTTAAAGAGGCCCCGGGGAACAGGCGCACTGGGACAGGCTGTGGGGGAAGCAGAGGCTGAGAATGCTGCCTCCTATAGCGGGAGCAGAACTGACCTGCACTCTGGGTGAAAGTGGGCAGAGAAGGAAGGAAGAAGAGACCCCAGCAGTGTAGACTGTGGGAGCTGGGCAGGTGGATTCACACTCCTGTGTTCAGGAGCCCAGCATGTCCTGGGAACTCAGCCGCAGAGCACAGTGGAAGAGATGCGTGTCTTCCATTCCTCTCCCCTGTAAGCCATGGCCCTGCTGCTGCTTTTGGGGAGGAGGCAGAAATCCCAGAGGATCCCGGACACACGGGGTCTCTGGGTTGGGGGTCACACTTCCTGGGTTGTGGTGCCTTCATTTTTGGAGCAGCAGCTCCTGATCCTGTCTCTTTGGCATGTGCCCTGGGAACCTGATGGGGGCCAAAGGAACCTAAGCCTCTTGCCTTGCCTCTGATCTCTATGAACTGTTGTCTTTCTGCTTTCCCCTAGGAGAGTCTGGCCTGGGGAAATCCACCCTGGTGAACAGCCTCTTCCTCACTGACATGTACAGGGATCGCAAACTCCTCAGTGCAGAAGGTAAGAGGAGAGACCAAAGCCTTCCCTGTCCCAGCCAGCTGGGAGCAGCCAGGGGATCAGCAGGGAGGGAGCAACCTGGCCCATTCAGCAGGGAGCACTAATGTGGGGCTTGCTAGAGCTCAGTGCCTGGTAGGAGGCAGCTTTAGGGAAAGGCTGGCTGCCCCATGCTCCTGCCTGGGTGACACAGCGGAGACGGGCTGTTCAGGTGAGAGGGAGGGATCTTCGGTGGGATTTCCTGCTCTCTTTTGAGGAGGTTCTTATGCCGGGGCCATGGAAGTGAAGTGAAACAGGCGACTGGGCAAGCTCCCCGGCTGGTGAAAATCAGTGCAGCACCCTGGAGCTCCCCGGAGCTGGTCGAAAGCGTCTGCTCCTTAGGCGGAGCTTCAGAGAACACAGTGAGGCCTGTTAGTAAACGAGCGGGATGCTGTTGTAGAGACCTCTCTGTGAGGGGTGAGACTGACTGGGGGCCCTCTGGGAGAACCCCTTCTTCCTCCCACCAGGAGGAGCCCTAACTGGGGGCCTTCTGGGAGAAGCTTCCCCACTCCCAAGGGGAGCCCTGACTGAGACCGTCTGGGTGGTGTTTATTTGGAGAGATCCTGTAGAGTTCATACCTGTGGGCCTGGGTCAGCTGCCACTGATGCTAGTGGGAGCTTTGCTTTGGCCCTCTCACGCTGGCACAAGGAGACCCAGCCCTGCACAAGGGCAAAGGGTTTGGCCCACAGGTGTCCTAATCCCCATTCGTGCTCCCTGCCGGGTTCCACTGGCCCAAGCAGACCTGTTCCAGGCTCCCTGCTGATGAGCTCAGGGAGGGGTGTGGTGGGTGGCTGATTCTTGATTGGGATCGTCTAGAACACTGTGCTTGTCTCAGGCTCTCCTGGGGTGGCTCGAGCTGCTCTGGGCGCAGGTGGACTGAGCTAGTCCTTGGGCAGGTGGCGCATCTCCTGCTCTAACATCCCGCGGGAGGCCTGCTTACTGCTCTGACTAGCGCAGTGAGGATCTTGTCTGGCTTCTCAAAGGGTTGGCTCCTTTCACCTCTGCTGCAGTCAGCTGGTGTGCTGATGCCCGCTTGCTGTGAGCAGAGAGGAGTCTCAAGTTCCCACTGCAGATGAAATGCTGCTTTTGTCTCTGTGGGTTTTTATAAAGAACAGCTGTAGCTATTGCCTGCTCCCACGGCGCCCCGGTAACAGTCCCGCATATCCACCGAAGTGTGATCCCTCCTTCCCAGCCGCTCGGCTTCCTGCGGCCACAAGTGAGCAGGACTAGGCCTGTGAAGTGCGTCACTTGAATGACCATCACTGATCATAAGTGTCCACTGCAGGGCTCCTTCCTTAGCATCTGGCTAGATGGCCTGGTCTGGCAGTCCCTGTGTCCCAGCCGGAGCAGCACCAATGGGTGCCACGCAGAGCTGCCCTCATCCCTCTGCTGCCAGAGAGACGAGCTGCTTGCACTGGGAGGCAGGAAAGGTGGGCCCACGGGGTCCCCGAAGGGTGGATTACAAAGGGTGGGGTTTAGAAAGTCTTCAGGCTGCCCAGGTCCCTCCCGCCTGAGCACTTGCCTCATGCACAGGAGAACACGAGAACCCCCTCTTGCTTGTGTCGCTGAGGAACAGGCTTAAACCAAACAGCTATAGCTGCTCTTTAAAGGTAATAAGAGCATCCACACAGAGCTTTGTACCAGTTTAACTACAGCAATGTAAATCGCACCGTTTGTGAAAAACCTTCTCATGGAGGCACAGCCAGAGGAGGACTCAGAGCCCCTTGTTGGGCTCGCTGATTATCTGCAGCAGCCGGGTGGAATCCCCTCAAAGTCTGAAACATTTTCACTCCTTGTTCAAACATTTGGGTTGGGCGGCAGGGATTCCAAACTTTCCTGTTTTTATTTTGTAATTTTGTGAATTTCAACATTTAGACAAACTTTCCCCCAGGTTTAATGGATATGTCAGTGGGTGCTGGAAGCTTCACAGGTCGTAGCTTGAATTAGTATTCTCTTGCACATCCATTCCTGTAAATGCCTTAGTCTGAAACATGACTAGATGGTCTAAGGGACCATTTTGGACTGTTCATTATTCAGCTGTCCAATCAGGGAGCAGAAACAGAATCAGGTAGCTCAGATGACCAATCGTATCCCAAGAGTTACAAATATTCACAACAGCCTGAACAACACACAGGCTGAGCATTGCTTGCTCACATGTTTGGGTGTAACGACTGCATCCATGGAAAATCAGGAAGATCAGGATTAGTGGTCTAGAGCAGGGGCTAAATTCAGCCAGCTCCAATCTCTGCAGCTGGGTTTGGATGGGGCTCACACCCAGTTATACGGTAGGATGTGTGCATGGTACAGCTGGGGTTTGGAGGCAGTTAGAGAAACTATCCTTGGATTTATAATGGAACCTGTTTGCTGGGGAAGTCACTGAGGCCCGGATCCTCCAAGATAATGGAACTGGGCTCCTAACTTCCACTGATTTAGTCCAATTAAAGTCCTAACTACCCCTGCAGCTCTGGGTTGGAGAGACTAACTGCCGAGCCCCTGGTGCTGCCCTGCCATCACTTGTCAGCACCTCAGCCGCGGCAGACAGAGCGTCACAGATGGTTAGTTTCTGGCACGAGCCCCCATATGTCTCTGGGCTGGAGATGGAGAGTGCCCCTGCCAGGAACCCACTGACTGAGAAAGAGCCTTCCCTAAAGTGGGGGCTTCTGCTTCTGGGGGAGAATGAGCAACCTCCCCCAGCAGAAGCTTCCTCAATGTTTTCAGGCCTCGAGTTGGGTCTGAGGCAGAGCTGGGCCTGACCCAACCCCTGCATCGGCACCCTCCACCCCACAACGCTAGGGAGGAAAAGGGCCTCCAGTCTCTGGAGGGAGTTCTAGGGCCTTGGATAAGCAGGAGCTGATCTTAACAATCCCTTCTGGCCTTTCGATCTGTGAAACCAGAGCACATCCAGACTGTGTCTTGGACCCGGCTCTGGTTTGGGGCTCAGTTTGAGTCAGGTGCGAATGTTCGGGTCAGTTCTAACTTTATCCAAACCCATTTGCTCTTCCCCAGATAGGCCTTAGATAACATGACCCTAGGGGCTGGTTCTCCTCTCCCTTCACCAGGGAGCTTCTGGAGTAACCGCACGCATGTTAGTGGAGTTAAAGCCAGTGTAAGTGCACAAAGAAAAGGAGTACTTGTGGCACCTTAGAGACTAACCAATTTATTTGAGCATGAGCTATTCGGAGACAAGCTGTGCTGTGATTTTTGGCACTGCTGAATATAGCCCATTACTGAGAGTCTCTGTGCACTTACATAATGACAGGTTTCAGAGTAACAGCCGTGTTAGTCTGTATTCCAAAAAGAAAAGGAGGACTTGTGGCACCTAGAGACTAACCAATTTATTTGAGCATGAGCTTTCTGAGCTACAGCTCACTTCATCGGATGCATACCGTGGAAACTGCAGCAGACTTTCTATACACACAGAGAATATGAAACAATACCTCCTCCCACCCCACTGTCCTGCTGGTAATAGCTTATCTAAAGTGATCATCAAGTTGGGCCATTTCCAGCACAAATCCAGGTTTTCTCACCCTCCACCCCCCCACACAAATTCACTCTCCTGCTGGTGGTAGCCCATCCAAAGTGACCACTCTCCCTACAATGTGCATGATAATCAAGGTGGGCCATTTCCAGCACAAATTCAGGTTTTCTCACCCCCCCCCCACCCCCATACACACACAAACTCACTCTCCTGCTGGTAATAGCTCATCCAAAGTGACCACTCTCCCTACAATGTGCATGGTAATCAAGGTGGGCCATGTCCAGCACAAATCCAGGTTTTCTCACCCCCCCACCCCCATACACACACAAACTCACTCTCCTGCTGGTAATAGCTCATCCAAACTGACCACTCTCCAAGTTTAAATCCAAGTTAAACCAGAACATCTGGGGGGGGGGGGGTAGGAAAAAACAAGGGGAAACAGGCTACCTTGCATAATGACTTAGCCACTCCCAGTCTCTATTTAAGCCTAAACTGATAGTATCCAATTTGCAAATGAATTCCAATTCAGCAGTTTCTCGCTGGAGTCTGGATTTGAAGTTTTTTTGTTTTAAGATAGCGACCTTCATGCCTGTGATTGCGTGACCAGAGAGATTGAAGTGTTCTCCGACTGGTTTATGAATGTTATAATTCTTGACATCTGATTTGTGTCCATTTATTCTTTTACGTAGAGACTGTCCAGTTTGACCAATGTAAATGGCAGAGGGGCATTGCTGGCACATGATGGCATATATCACATTGGTGGATGTGCAGGTGAACGAGCCTCTGATAGTGTGGCTGATGTTATTAGGCCCTGTGATGGTGTCCCCTGAATAGATATGTGGGCACAATTGGCAACGGGCTTTGTTGCAAGGATAAGTTCCTGGGTTAGTGGTTCTGTTGTGTGGTATGTGGTTGTTGGTGAGTATTTGCTTCAGGTTGCGGGGCTGTCTGTAGGCAAGGACTGGCCTGTCTCCCAAGATTTGTGAGAGTGTTGGGTCATCCTTTAGGATAGGTTGTAGATCCTTAATAATGCGTTGGAGGGGTTTTAGTTGGGGGCTGAAGGTGACCGCTAGTGGCGTTCTGTTATTTTCTTTGTTAGGCCTGTCCTGTAGTAGGTAACTTCTGGGAACTCTTCTGGCTCTATCAATCTGTTTCTTTACTTCCGCAGGTGGGTATTGTAGTTGTAAGAAAGCTTGACAGAGATCTTGTAGGTGTTTGTCTCTGTCTGAGGGGTTGGAGCAAATGCGGTTGTATCGCAGAGCTTGACTGTAGACGATGGATCGTGTGGTGTGCTCAGGGTGAAAGCTGGAGGCATGTAGGTAGGAATAGCGGTCAGTAGGTTTCCGGTATAGGGTGGTGTTTATGTGACCATTGTTTATTAGCACTGTAGTGTCCAGGAAGTGGATCTCTTGTGTGAACTGGACCAGGCTGAGGTTGATGGTGGGATGGAAATTGTTGAAATCATGGTGGAATTCCTCAAGGGCTTCTT